GCGTGTGTGTGCGTGTGTATGTGTGTATGTGTATGTGTGTGTGTGTGTATGTGTGTGTGTGTGTGTGTGTGTGTGTGTGTGTGTATGATACTGTGGCAGTGTGTGTAAAAAAAGCAGAGAGAGTGTTGAAATGTGTAGTCAGGACCATCCATCACAATCTGTCCCTGTGTGCGTGTGAGTGTGTGTGTGTGCTCACGTGTGCCTGTGTAAGTGCTTGTGTGTGTTTGAGTGTGCGTGTTTCTGTGTGTGTGTGGCTGTGTGTGTAGAGCACCAGACACAGAGGTCCAGAGTGATCACACAGCGGTGAGTCAGATCTGTGTCCAGCATCAAGCCAGACACATCAGCAGTCCGCCAGCGTGCACGTGGAACAAGCGTGCACGTGGAGAGCGTGCACGGTGGCTGAGTGGATCGCACTCTCGCCTCTCAGCAAGAAGGTCCTGGGTTCGAATCCCGGTTGGACCAGGGCCTTTCTGAGTGGAGTTTGCATGTTCTCCCCGTGTCTGCGTAGGTTTCCTCCGGGTACTCCGGTTTCCCCTACCACTAAAAATATGTACAATAGGTCTGGCATGTGCCTCCTGTACTGGCCCCACTCCCAAAAAAAATAACAATTGTAAACCGCTTTGAGACTCCGATGTGCAGTGAAAAGGCGGTATATAAATAAAGATTACATAAAGATTACATACGTGGAACAAGCGTGCACGTGGAGAGCGTGCACGTGGAACAAGCGTAAACGGGGTCGGGCGTCCACGAGAGCAGCGACCAAACCAATGACTTATCAACATTAGAGCCATTGCCCTCTATGGACCAATGGCTCTAAATGCTTTTTTTTATAATTTGTTATTGTGCATTTATAACTGTTTGATTCTCTGATCTGCGATGGCGAATTGACATTTTCTGTGTAACACTCAGAAACCTGGACTTCCCGCCCCCTTCTGTCTAACTCTTGAGGGCGGCACCGTGGCTGAGTGGATAGCACTCTCGCCTTTCAGCAAGAAGGTCCTGGGTACAAATCCCGGTCGGACCAGGGCCTTTCTGAGTGGAGTTTGCATGTTCTCCCCGTGTCTGCGTAGGTTTCCTCCGGGTACTCCGGTTTCCCCTACCACTAAAAATATGTACAATAGGTCTGGCATGCGGACCCTGGGCGACCCCGCTCCCATCTCTGTGTGGAGTGAGAGACAAGTGCCCAAAAATAACAATTGTAAACCGCTTTGTGACTCTGGTCTGTGAAAGGCGGTATATAAATAAAGATTACCTACTTACTTATTTACTAACTTTTCACACATGCTGCGCTAGGTGGCGCGGTGGCAGAGTGGTTAGCGCTTGTGCTTCACTGCAAGAGGGCTCCGAGTTCGATTCCACCTCCAGGCCTCTCTGTGTGGAGTTTGCATGTTCTACCCGCGTCTGCGTACTGAAAAGACATGTACAATCAATCAATCAATCAATCAACGTTTATTTGTAGAGCGCCTTTCCTACACAAGGCAACGCAAAGCGCTTCACATCCCCTATCACATCATGCATAAATCAAACACATTAAGAGCACAAGATATATTAAAAACATTAAAAATAAAATCACAAAAATTAAAAACCTTTAAACATTAAAATCACAGATGGGACTAAAATCATAAATAGTCACAGTGCATTAAAAAGATTAAAGACAAAAACAAAGATGAAAAGATAAAATCATTCAGTTGTATATGCGCAGCCAAACAGAATTGCCTTGAGCCTAGATTTAAAAGATGCCAGAGTAGACGCCTGTCTCACATTCTCAGGAAGACTGTTCCAGACTCTAGCCGCATGAATCTGAAATGCAGTTTGCCCATGTCTAGTACCGACTCTGGGCACTAACAGGAGTCCAGTCCCTGTGCTCCTCAGAGTCCGGGTCGGTTCATATGGCACAAACATGTCATGGATGTACCTTGGCGCGAGACCATGGAGAGACTTGTACACAAGTAAAGCTGCTTTGAAGTCTATTCTCTGAGGAACAGGAAGCCAGTGCAGAGACCTGAGAACTGGACTAATGTGGTCGTACTTCCTAGTTCTGGTCAGGACTCGAGCTGCTGCATGTTGAATGTACTGCAGCTGTTTTACAGCCTGTTTGGACAGACCTGTGAGCAGGCTATTGCAATAGTCTAACCGACTGGAGACAAAAGCGTGTATAAGAGTCTCCAAGTCTGCCTTAGACACTATGTTTTTAATTTTAGCAATGTTTTTTAGGTGGTAATAAGCTGCTGATGTTACAGATTTTATGTGGCTTTTGAAATTTAAGTCTGAGTCCATTATCACTCCTAGATTTCTGACCTGATTTGAGGGTTGTAGAGAGAGAGCCTGGAGGTGACAAATAACGCTCTCTCTTTGTTTCTGGGGTCCGAAAACAATTATTTCAGTTTTGTCGGTGTTTAGTTGGAGAAAGTTATTTTGCATCCAATCACCGATTTGCTGGACACAGTGAAGGAGCGAGTCCACTGGTTCATGCTCTCCTGCTGTCAGGGACACATAGACCTGAGTATCGTCAGCGTAATTGTGATAAGAGACATTATTACTGTGAATCAACTGACCTAGAGGCAACATGTAAATATTAAACAGAAGAGGACCCAGGATTGACCCCTGTGGCACTCCGCAGGTCAGGGCCAAGTGGTCTGAGGTACAGTTTTCGATCTCCACAAAAAACTTTCTGTCTTGTAAATAGGACCTAAACCAGCTTAGGGCGGTGCCAGCAACACCAACCCAGTCCTCAAGTCTCTGAATGAGGATGCCATGATCAATAGTGTCAAAAGCAGCACTTAAATCTAACAGAAAAAGGACTGAGACTTTTCCTGCGTCAGTGTTTAGTTTGATGTCATTTGTTACCTTTATTAGCGCGGTCTCAGTGCTGTGGTGGGGTCTAAACCCTGACTGGAACATATCATAAGCGTTATTGATTATTAAAAATTCTGTAAGTTGTTTATAGGCAACTTTTTCTAGAATTTTTCCCATGAAAGGCAGATTTGAAATGGGCCGATAATTTTTGAGTGCCAGGGCTTCCAGACTCCTCTTTTTTAGGAGGGGCCTGATGACCGCCGTTTTCAAGGCCATTGGGAATGTTCCAGATTCAAGAGACATATTAACTATTTGTGTAAGTGAAGGTAAAAGACTGCTCAGAACTGACTTGAGAAATCTAGGAGGTAATACATCCAGGCTGCATGTGGAGGAACTCAGACTAGTGATTATCTCCTGGACAGTTTCAATTTGTACTGGTGTAAAGTGCGTCAGCCCAAAAAGCTTCACTGGCGGTTGGATTATTATTTCTATCGTGGAGGTGATGGCGTTTTTGATACCTTGGACTTTGTCATTAAAGAACTGAGCAAACTCATTACATTTAGATTTGGAAGTAAGTTCTGATGGCATCTTAACAGGGGGATTCGTCAATCTATTTACTGTTGAAAACAGAACACGTAGATTGTTGCTACAGCCTTCAATAGTTTCAGAAAAGTACATTTCCCTCGTTCTACGTAGTTCCCTGTTAAAATTGCACAACGCATCTTTGAAGATCTCATGGTCAACTTTGAGATTTGACTTTCGCCACTTCCGCTCGGCCTTCCGGCACTCTTTCTTCTGTGCCCTGACCGAGTCTGCTTTAGTCCATGGCGCTTTTTGCTTGTTTGTAACTATTTTAACCTTTACAGGAGCAATTGTATCCAGAACATTCAAAACAGTGGTGGTGACAGAATCAAGTAATTCATCTACAGTAACACACAACGTGTTCTCAAAGTTTACCCTCCCCATGAACAGTTCGCCTGTATTATCATTTATGTGTCTTCTTCTAACAACCGAAGATTCAGCTGGTGGTTTACAATCAAGACACATGTCAAAAAATACACAGAAATGATCAGACAGAGCAACATTGACCACATTTACATTTGAAATATTAACCCCCTTGGTAATTAACAGATCGAGAGTGTGTCCTCTGCTGTGGGTGGGGCCACTCACATGCTGAGTGAGACCAAAGGTTTCCAGCACAGAGCTCAGCTCTATTGCATATCTATCATTAGCATTATCTACATGTATATTGAAATCACCTACAATGACCAAACCATCAAAATCTGTGCACACAACTGAAAGCAACTCAGTGAAATGATCAGTGAAACTATGGCATGACTGTGGCGGCTTGTACACAACAATAATAAGAATGGAAGAAGATTTCTTTTGTTCTATTTTAAAAGAAACATACTCAAATGATGAAAATTTCCCAAGAGACACTCTATGGGAGACAATACGATCTTTAAAAACTGCTGCTATGCCCCCCCCCCCTTTTATTTTCTCGTGTTTCATGTTCAAATTTGAAATTTGGTGGTGAGGCTTCTATTAAAACTGCATCTCCTGTATTATGGTCAAGCCATGTTTCAGTCATAAACATAAAATCAAGATCATACGAACAGATAAAATTATTAATTAAAAATGATTTGTTGCATAGTGATCTGACATTAAGTAGAGCAAGGTTAAAATTAATATCAGTGTCAATGGGTTTAGTTGATTGATTACAAAGAACTGGAATTAGATTTCCAGAGTTGGACCGTCTAACTGCTGTCCTTCTTTTAAATTTGTGTTTATTAAGCTGATAATAAATAGTAATAAAGCTGACTTAGTCACTCATAGACTATAACACCATGGACAGAGCCGTTGTCCGAGACGGAATTAAATTATGGGCTTCGAGATGCACCATGAAGCCAAAGCTACCAAATAATATTGTGACGTTAAGTTGTCGCTACGTCGTTTTTGGCGTGTGTCGCAGTAATGGGCGGGGATAGGTGGTAGGTGAAAACCTCCGATGCATGACTCAGGATGACTCAAACGCAGCAGAATGAATGAGAACGATGAGGGAACGCTGTGTTTCCATTGGTCACGAGCGGAGGCAGCAGTGGGCTCGCCGTGATCGAACTGAGAGGTTATATTTAGATGGAGAAGGAGGAAAGCCACTCAGCACTTTGGACTGAAGTAGGTCAGAGAGAGACGGCTCCTGAACAATGGAGATGGAGGACTGTGGGGGAGAGTGGGGGACTGTGGGGGACTGTGGGGGACTGTGGGGGAGAGTGGGGGATTGTGGGGGACTGTGGGGGACTGTGGGGGACTGTGGGGGAGAGTGGGGGACTGTGGGGGACAGTGGGGGACTGTGGGGGAGAGTGGGGGACTGTGGGGGAGAGTGGGGGACAGTGGGGGAGAGTGGGGGACTGTGGGAGAGAGTGGGGGACAGTGGGAGAGAGTGGGGGACAGTGGGGGAGAGTGGGGGACTGTGGGGGAGAGTGGGGGACAGTGGGAGAGAGTGGGGGACAGTGGGGGAGAGTGGGGGACTGTGGGGGACTGTGGGGGAGAGTGGGGGAGAGTGTGGGTGAGTTGGAGTTGAAATAAAACTACACATATGCCATAATAGTCTGCAGTACGCCAGTTTTGGTTTATTTGGACAAAATAACCTCCAAATAGAGACTCGAGAGAGACCAGAGAGAGAGTAGAGTGAGACCAGAGGGAGAGCAGAGAGAGACCAGAGAGGGACCAGAGTGAGACCAGAGAGAGAGCCGAGAGAGAGTAGAGTGAGACCAGAGTGAGACCAGAGTGAGGCCAGAGAGGGACATGAGAGAGACCAGAGAGAGACCAGATATAGACCAGAGAGAGACCAGAGAGAGACCAGAGAGGGACCAGAGAGAGATCAGAGAGAGACCAGAGAGAGACCAGAGAGAGACCAGATATAGACCAGAGAGAGACCAGAGAGGGACCAGAGAGAGACCAGAGAGAGACCAGAGAGAGACCAGAGAGAGACCAGAGAGGGACCAGAGAGAGACCAGAGAGTGACCAGAGAGAGACCAGAGAGAGACCAGAGAGAGACCAGATATAGACCAGAGAGAGACCAGAGAGAGACCAGAGAGGGACCAGAGAGAGACCAGAGAGAGACCAGATATAGACCAGAGAGAGACCAGAGAGGGACCAGAGAGAGACCAGAGAGAGACCAGATATAGACCAGAAAGAGACCAGAGAGAGACCAGAGAGGGACCAGAGAGTGGGGGACCGTGGTGGACTGTTTGAAGATTTGAAGGTTTGAGATTTGAAGTTAAACCTGACCCAGAGGTTGATGCTCGGCTTGGTCAGGAGCAGTTGGAGGATCTTTCCTAGATAGATAAATAGAAGTACATGTTTTTAGCAGCAGGTACAACCGGAGCACCCTGAGGAAACCTACGCAGACATGGGGAGAACATGCAAACTCCACTCAGAAAGGCCCTGTTCAGACCAGCACCTTCTTGCTAAGAAGAGACAGTGCTAGCCAGATTATTTCATAAAAAATGACATAGAAATGAACTAAATATAGATACAGAAAAAGTCACAAAAATACATTCGCTGAGTTACAGTTTGAAAAGCCGTCAATTTGACTGCTCTGGGAGATCTGTGTCAAGGTTATGATTGATGCAAGGAACTTCAGCACTTCAGCAGATACTGGGAAAGAGACCAGAGAGAGACCAGAGAGAGACCAGAGAGAGACCAGAGAGAGACCAGAGAGAGACCAGAGAGAGACCAGAGAGAGAGACCAGAGAGAGACCAGAGAGAGACCAGAGAGAGACCGGAAAGAGACCAGAGGGAGACCAGAGAGAGACCAGAGAGACCAGAGAGAGAGACCAGAGACAGAGAGAGAGACCACAGAGACCAGAGAGAGACCAGAGAGAGACCAGAGAGAGACCGGAAAGAGACCAGAGAGAGACCAGAGAGAGACCAGAGAGAGAGACCAGAGACACAGAGACCAGAGAGAGCCAAGAAAGAGACCAGAGACAGACCAGAGAGAGACCAGAGAAAGACCAGAGACAGACCAGATAGAGACAGACCAGCGGTTTCATTTTCCTATGTTATTACTTTTCTTTCCAACTTGTCCCGACAGTGAATCGTAAACTCTCACTGAACTACATCCTGTGTTATGTCTGAACTGTAGACATTTGAACATTTGGACTGGACATTTGACTTAAAATCACGAGACAGAAACTTGGATGAAGTGAGTTGAAACAGTTGTGTTTCTCTCTGCTCTCCACATATCAGAGGCTTCAGCTGGTCCCTGGGTCACTTGTTATCATACACACAGGTCAAACTCCGGCCCATGGGCTCAATCCGGCCAGCAAGACCCTTTTCAGCGGCCCCTGAAGAACTTTTCAATCCTCCATCCATCCATTTTCTACCCTTTAATCCATTTCTGGGTCAGGGGGGTGGCAGGGGGGAAAACAGAGTGAGACCGGAGAGGGACCAGAGAGAAACCAGAGAGAGACAAGAGAGAGAGCAGAAAGAGACCAGAGAGAGACCAGAGAGAGAGCAGAGAGAGACCAGAGAGAGAGCAGAGAGAGACCAGAGAGAGCAGAGAGAGACCAGAGAGAGACCAGAGAGAGACCAGAGAGAGACCAGAGAGAGAGCAGAGAGAGAGCAGAAAGAGACCAGAGAGAGACCAGAGAGAGAGCAGAGAGAGACCAGAGAGAGAGCAGAGAGAGACCAGAGAGAGCAGAGAGTGACCAGAGAGAGACCAGAGAGAGACCAGAGAGAGACCAGAGAGACACCAGAGAGAGAGCAAAGAGAGACCAGAGAGAGAGCAGAGAGTGACCAGAGAGAGAGCAGAGAGAGAGCAGAGAGTGACCAGAGAGAGAGAGCAGAGAGAGAGCAGAGAGAGACCAGAGAGAGAGCAGAGAGAGAGCAGAGAGAGACCAGAGAGAGACCAGAGAGGCCAGAGAGAGACCAGAGAGAGACCAGAGAGAGACCAGAGAGAGAGCAGAGAGAGACCAGAGAGAGAGCAGAGAGACCAGAGAGAGCAGAGAGTGACCAGAGAGTGACCAGAGAGACCAGAGAGAGACCAGAGAGAGAGCAGAGAGAGAGCAGAGAGTGACCAGAGAGAGAGCAGAGAGAGAGCAGAGAGAGACCAGAGAGAGACCAGAGAGGCCAGAGAGAGACCAGAGAGAGACCAGAGAGAGACCAGAGAGAGAGCAGAGAGAGACCAGAGAGAGAGCAGAGAGAGACCAGAGAGAGCAGAGAGTGACCAGAGAGAGACCAAAGAGAGACCAGAGAGAGAGCAGAGAGAGACCAGAGAGAGAGCAGAGAGTGACCAGAGAGAGAGCAGAGAGAGAGAGCAGAGAGTGACCAGAGAGAGAGCAGAGAGAGAGCAGAGAGAGACCAGAGAGAGAGCAGAGAGAGACCAGAGAGAGACCAGAGAGGCCAGAGAGAGACCAGAGAGAGACCAGAGAGAGACCAGAGAGAGAGCAGAGAGAGACCAGAGAGAGACCAGAGAGAGCAGAGAGTGACCAGAGAGTGACCAGAGAGAGAGCAGAGAGTGACCAGAGAGAGAGCAGAGAGAGAGCAGAGAGAGACCAGAGAGAGACCAGAGAGGCCAGAGAGAGACCAGAGAGAGACCAGAGAGAGACCAGAGAGAGAGCAGAGAGAGACCAGAGAGAGAGCAGAGAGACCAGAGAGAGCAGAGAGTGACCAGAGAGTGACCAGAGAGACCAGAGAGAGACCAGAGAGAGAGCAGAGAGTGACCAGAGAGAGAGCAGAGAGTGACCAGAGAGAGAGCAGAGAGAGAGCAGAGAGTGACCAGAGAGAGAGCAGAGAGAGAGCAGAGAGAGACCAGAGAGAGAGCAGAGAGAGAGCAGAGAGAGACCAGAGAGAGACCAGAGAGGCCAGAGAGAGACCAGAGAGAGACCAGAGAGAGACCAGAGAGAGCAGAGAGAGACCAGAGAGAGAGCAGAGAGACCAGAGAGAGCAGAGAGAGACCAGAGAGAGAGCAGAGAGAGAGCAGAGAGAGAGCAGAGAGAGGAGAGAGAGAGCAGGAGACAGGAGAGAGCAAAGTGAGTTAAGAGAGAGACCAGAGACAGAGAAGAGACCAGAGAGGGACCAGCGCGACCAGAAAGAGACCAGAGAGACCTGTTATTCAAAGAGTTCAAACCAGCATTAAAAACCGACTAGGACCAGAGAGGGACCAGAAAGAGATCAGAGAGACTAGAGAGAGACCAGATAGAAAAAAAGTTCTAAGTAGTTTGTATAAGATGATTCCAAACGTAAAGAGCATGTTTGTGTCCTTTAAAGCGGACACAGAATTGAATTAAAGCCATAACCTTCCCACTGTGGCGCGGGGGGACTCACCACTGCCCTGTAACAGCCCAGACTGAGGCCCCGGGCCCCTGTGGAGCACTAATGGCCCCTCATCAATCACCCAGCACCTGGCCGTCCACAACATCACCCCACCTGCGCCACGGTAACAGTAACCGCGCTGTAACCAGGAACACGTGCGAACCCCGGCCACCTCTGACCCCAACAGGAAGTGTTTAGGCCGTAAGGGGGAAAGGTGGGGTCTGTATCCTCCTCCGATAACTCTGCTGAGCCTGATCCTCGTCTGATACTGACGTGACCGATACCGATCCCATAATACAACTGTTTGTACTCTTATGTATACATAAACATGCTAACTTTGACTATAGATTTTATACAGCGCTTTTCGGGACATCACAAAGACGCTTTACATGTCATTACTCTGTCACTCCATTCACAGTGGTGATAAATTATTATTGGAGCCACAGCTGCCCTGGGGCACACTGACTGAAGCGAGGTAACCAGTCTGTGTCATTGTGTCTTAACTGTTGATTCTCTGATCTGTGTCGGTGATTTCAATGGTTTTGTCAAGTCCTCTGAGATGATGCTGTTGTGATTTAGGGCTGTACAAGAATAAGTTTGAAGAAGTATTTATTGTATTGAGTCATCTGCCCCACTGACCCCACTGACCCCACCATCAAACATTCACACACACATCAGACTCATTCTGGGCAATGTGGGTGAAGTGTCTTGCCTAAGGACACAACAATAGCTTGGCAATTTACAGCCGCCCCACTGTGGCACCTGGTGTACCCAAAGGTCTCCCATCACAGTACTAACCAGGCCCTGCCCTGCATAGCTTCAAAGGGCTGTCGCATGCAAGTATGGCCACACTTTACTCCAGTTGAATTAAAGGTTTCTTTTCCAAAACCAAGCAGGGTTAGGATTCGGGCTAGGGTTGGGATTAACGTTAGGGCTAGGTTTAGGATACACTTAATTATGACTTAATTAGCTGTTAATTAGTGCATGCTAATCCAAAGTGTTACACATGTTTTGTTGGTGGAGAGTGAGAGGGGGTTGCTTGAGTGTCCACTAAAGCTGGTGACAGTTTTTATGGATAAATGTTTTATGAAATGACTTTGTTCTCACATGATCCTCTCCCCGCGGCGTAATCCATAGTGATGGATCCGCACTGGTCCTGGTCCGCACTGGTCTGCACTGGTCCTGGTCCCAGTCTAAGCTCTTGTTCATCAACTGTTTCGACTGGTGCCAGTTTAGGACCAGAGCAGGTATC